CACCCCAGTCCCCGCCGCTGCCTGGAGGGGGCGGCCAGGCAGGGCAGGAAGGGGGGAGCCGGACTCTCCTGACCCCGGCTACCGCCCCGCTGCCGCGGCGGCCCCCAGCGCTGTCCGGCGCTGGAGGGGAGAGAGGGGCGAGCGCTACGCGTTTATTAGCGGGAAGGCGGGCGGGCTGTGGCAGAAGATGTCGGCGGGGTGGGCGGGAAGGCGGCGGGCGGGCGGCTGAAAGGCGCTTTCTCTGCGCTGTGCCGGAGCGCGGAGGGATACGACGCACGGGGAGGAGGAGGGGCTGCGGCGGCGGGGCCGCGGCGACTCGCGGCGGCGGCGCTGGAAGTTCCCGAGTTCCAGCGTCGCAAGAATGGGAAGCGAGCGAAGCCAAAATGCCCCCGGGGAGCGCGGCCCCGATGGGGAGGCCCGGCACTTCCACACCCCCGGCCCGCGGCTCCCCCGTAGCCCAGCCCGCTCCCTCAGAGCCAGCCAGGGACCTCGGGGCGCTGCCAGGGGCTTTGGCATCTGCGCGTAAGTGCCACAGTGTCACGCGTTGTTGCTTCTTATTCTTGCAACATCGCAGCCCGGTTCCTGCCGTGGGTCTGGAGCGGGGGGAAATCCCAGCAAGCCCCCAGCAGCCAGAAAGGCGCCTTGCTACATTGTTCAGCGGGGCTGCCCAGGCGGCTCCGCCTGGGGGGGTGAAGGGCTCGCTGGGCGCTCGCTTTGAGAACTTCCCTTTAAAAAAAAAAAAAAAAAAAAAAAAAAGAAAAAAAAAAAAAAAAACGAAAAAAACCCAACGAAACAAAAACCAAAACAACCAAACAAACCCAGACAGCTGATAACGATTCTATTCATTGCTCTTGCCGCCAAGCAGGATCAGACATGCGGGACTGACGAATCTTCTGCCTTCCAGGAGCGATGGGCAAAAGGAGGAGTGTTGTCAACGCGAGGACGAGCGATGGATGGTGATGCCTGCAACCTATGGCTGAACTGGAGGTAAATCACTAGCGGATCGATAACCTACCGAAGGTTCCTGAAAGGCTGCAACATTGTACGGACCCCGGCTAACGGTTAAATAATTGTTTTATTTCATGTTTGCTACCTTGCTACCTTGAGGATACTGAATAAAACCTTCTGGTTTGTCCTGTAACTGTTTCTTTGCTGCTTACAGTCAAAAGAAAATAAAAACAAAGCCGGTGTCCGCTGATAATCAGCTTTTTTTAAAAAATCCATATCTGATGAGGGATTTAAAGGAGCATGATTCGTTGTCTTTATGTTTTGCAACGTGTCTGTGCTTTTTCTTGTCGAGTTGGGGCCTTGCAAGAACGAATGTATTTGTGGACAATAAAAATTAATATAGCAGAGATCAATGTAAACAGGGCAAGTTATAATTTTAAAATATTTCTTTAGCCCCAGTTATTAACTGATGCAACTTGTGAAGCAAAGACAAAAGTATATTTGAAATTGTACAGAAACTAGACAAAGAACTATTTTTTTTCCTGTACATAAAATCCCCTGAAATTCTCAACTATCTAACTTTCAACAAAATTAAATTTGAACAACGTTTCTGTGCAGCTTAGGGTAACCAGCACTGAGCATTTTTATACGTGTTTCCAAGGCCTGCAAGCTCAGTGTACGAGCTCGAGCTTTGTGCTTGACATGGTGAGAAAGCTTCGCTGCAATCACCCTTCTGCTTTATTAAAGAAATGTTATCCTGAAAGGTTAAAGAAAGGTGGCTAAAACATCACTTATTTCCATTGTCTTATTACAAAAGCTATAATTATATAGTGGATGTCTAGATGCTGTGCATTTTTTATATACAATTATCACATGTACTAAAAAATCATTAAAATCCTAATCTAGAATTTGTTATCATTAAGGTAAATTATTTTGTAGGATAAATTCTTTTTTTAATAAAAAGAAAAGCAAGACTGTATGTACTAGATTTGATCACTGTATCTGTAGCTATGATCACTATATATTTAAAAATGTACATGTATCTCCCTTTCCCCAGATTTGTTATAATAACCACTCTGTTTCAGCTTCATTTTAAATCCACACTTCAAATAATCAAAAAGGAAATGGAATAATATTTAATGTCTAATAAAGATTTTAAAAATAAAGTGACTTGAATATTTTCTTAGCCATGTAAAATGTGCATTGTAATATCTTTCATAGGTGATTCTCACAACAAAGGGCTACATGAATAATGTGATTAACATTTTAATTTCCCTTGATGTTTACATAAAAGAAAGTATAATGGCATATGACATCACTGAAACTGTAAACCAAGCAATAAAAAAATTTTATCAGTTACAGAGTCTGAAAGTAGAGGAAAAAACTCTCCTAGATATATTGACTCTTGTTCTTTTGGCAACTCATAACTTCTCCTATTGCAGTTCAAAATACAGCCCACAGAATCAAGAAGTTCTTGGTGTTTTGACAATAAAATAAGGATTGTGTATTTTATTTAATTTTTTTTAGATCACCAAGCAAAATGGAATCATAGTCCCAGACTTGAGCTTGAGCACTGCAGTACTAAAAGCAATATTTAATTAACAGCTTTTACAAACGTAAATGTTCCACTTTCTTTTTACAGATTCAACCTGATGGGATTTTTATGTGCATGTGTGGCACAACATGAAAGTCACACACAAGACAAAATGCCTAATTATTATTGCTTGGTGATACACGTTAGATTGAATTTCTGCAACAGTAATAAATATTCCATTCATTTCTCAGGGATATTTTTAAAGGTTTTTTTATTCTTTCAGTTAAAATTAAGATTTTTATTGTAATGTACACAAGTGAAGAAAAATATAACCTTTGAATTTTTACTATCTTTATTGTTTTGCTTTCTAATAATCCCTTTTCTTTCATGCAATCTTTTCACCTTACATTATTCTAAAATAAAATACATCAGTCCTGCTTTCTCAGCAAGATTTAATGTTTTCAAGAGAAATTACTCTGAAAGGTCTTCATAAAAAAATAGTAATGGAATTATTTCATTTTGTGACTTGTGTGACTTTCAAATGTTAATATTCACACACAATTGCTAAATTAATTAAAAAAAAAAAAAAGGAAGAATAATGTTTCATAGATGTTCCTGTTGCTGGAGATTTTACACATCAGCTATACTAAGCAATGGACTGATCCTAAGAGTTGCTGGTTTGGGATGTCTCTTTTTACCCTAACCTGATAATTTTTTTTTTTTTTTTTGTTCCATCCCCCTCTTCCCCCCTAAAAAAGTGCTATAAGCTCTGTAAGTATCCAAATACAGATATATTAGAATTTTCTTGAATTACTGGTTACCTTTGACAGATAAGAATGTAGTATCTTTGGTTTCTTCTTGAATTTTCCGGTATCTTTCTGCACTTTTGGGATTAGTTGGTTTGGGGGGGTTGGGTTTTTTGTTTGTTTTTTTTTACTGATATATTTTAGCCAGTGTTTTTTTTTGTGTCAGTATGATTTTATACCTTGTGCCTGGAAAGTACATTTTTTGGACCCTACTAGTGGCAGTACTTGACATGAAAAGCCTTTCTGTTTCTTTTGAAATTTGCTCTTCTCCTTTTCTCTAGAGACAAAGGAAAGTATTTAGGGTTTGTAGATTGTCAAGCTGAACAATGTAGCTAAATATTTGAAGCATGATATTGGCAGGGGGTGGCTGAGAGCAACATAAAGCAGTGACTAAGTTTTCCTCGGGTTTGGATGGTCGGTTGGTTACTTGAACAGGGCTTTTTTGGTGAGATTTTTCCACCTCAAATGAGAATTATCACCACTAGTTGCTTGTTGATTCTAACTCTTGAAACCAACCATAAACCTCACAAGGTTGTGTGTAGTGAGTGCTTGTGAGGCCAGCAACTTTTTTTATTATCATTTGTGTTAACTTCATGCAGAAAGAACCACACGTACTAAAATACAATACTACTATGAGCAAATTTCTTCTGTAGTTTCAGACAATAACTTGGAGCTTAACTAAGTAGCTTCACATCAAAATTCATTTAAATACTCACTTGTTCATGCTTCATGCCAAGAATACATCCATACCTTTTCTGCACCCTGCATCAGTAACCTACCAGAACTTTCTACCATGAAGTTTCTAACAGAGTGCTTGGCTGCTTTGTATTCTACCCTTATCAGATATTAAATAGTAAACTGTATGCTTCTAGTTTTCACTTTATTTCCCATTTCAGTGTGCCCTTTACCACAGAATGTGCATGTCTTCCCATTCCACTATTTTTGAAAATATTTCCTGTTACTCCTGCTTGCTTCTCACCAGTGGTGAAGAGGAGAATAGGATTAGGCACCTGTATTACCCAAACCACCAGCAGCACTGACAAATTAATATTTTTTTAAAAAGCACACAAATAGATTAGCCTCTGAAAATGTTTTCTATAAATTTTGTGTAAAAACAAATAATTAGCTGAAAATCTACTATCAGGCTTTTGAAAGTAGATCTATATGTCATTTATATTTTGAGCAGTAAATGAGCCTTGTTGGAGTTCATCCAATGAACCTAAAAACCTCTTTAATATGCTGTTACCCAAATAAATATGAATTGCACCAGTGTTGACATTCTTTCGGTTTCACTGTTATATCTTTGAGTACAAAACCTTCCCTTACAAAGAGAAACTAAGAATAAGGCCTATGTTATTCCTACTGAATAGAGGAATTCTACTGGTTCATGCTGGGGATTTTGTTTGGGTTTGTTTTGTTTTAAAGCAAATTTATTTGTGTTCCTGTATTTTGTAAAAGACTTTCAATTAAATTTCCTGGATCTGTTTGACATTTCAACTTTCTACGCTGAATCCATTCCCTAATTATCCAGAGGATATTGAGAAAATTATTAAAATGCTGCACTTAATTGTTTGCTATTGGGCTTTTCTTCACAGAGACTCTTGGAGATTTGCCATGTCTATTTTCACGTCTATTTGATGTCTCCAAAGTTTTCTGAGTCTTCTAAGGATTATGTAGAAGTTTTTTTTTTAAGAGAAGCTCTGAAAAAATTAATGCACAGGGTATATTTTAGAGGAGAGTCACTCCATAATGAAAATAGGAATTATGTTGCTTTGTATATTGACAATTATTTGCTTAGATTACTACTTCTACAAAAATTTTGAAAATGTTTGCTGTTACTTTACTTTGTAGTAAAGTGTTCTAATATGCTAAGGCAATTTTTGTTGAGCAGAAGATTCTCAAAATAACATGTATCATTCATTTATTTCAATGGTTTCATATTAGTGTTCTGAGTCTAAGAAGATTTACTTGAGATCTTAAGTGACAAATTTTACTTAAATTGGTAAATTATAAAATTTGTTAAGGCACAATTTAATAGTGGCCTTCAGCTACTCTTTGTCTTTCCATTTCTCTAAATGAAAATTTAGATTTTTATTTAACCAAGCTTGAGATTCATTTCCAATTTGGGGTTTAGGTGTGATGTTTTCATTTACTGTAGTAGCCTGTTAGAAATGCAACTTTTAAAAATACAGATGAGAGGTTGTTTGCCTGATTTTTCAAAATTATGCTGGCTATCATTAGCTTTCCTATAGACTTGGAATTTCTCTGAGTTAATACAAAAGACTGTTAAAGATTTACATCTATGTAATAACTTAAGGGATTCTGTGATATTGTTATCAGACATACAGTCTGATAAACTTGCTAATATGCAATTTAGATAAAAGTAGAGGAAGCCGTAAGAAATATCAGTGAGATCTACCGAGGGAAGAGATGAGCAGAACAATGTAGGTATAATTTCATGATGTTACATTCAAAATAAACTATTGAAGAAATTATATGAGTCATTCATGCTCCTTATGGGCTCCAAATCAATATAAGGGAGAGAAAAAAAACCCTCTATTTGATAGCCAGTAGTAAATCTTTTTAAAATACCATTCTATTTATTACATATTCAACATTGAGAATGTGGTGATTTTTTTTCTAGAACTCTAATATGAAGCCAGTGAAACAAAACAATAACACATCTTCTGTTGTAATATTGCATTAATTCTTTCACCTTATCTCAAAAAATTAGAGTTCAGGAGAAAATTAGGATCAAGGAAAAATACTTTAGGAATAGGATTAAAGACCAAGGAAAAGGAATAAGATACATGGAGGAAGTAATATTCAATCAGTGCATACAAAATTTCTCTGTTTCAGAGAAGACAAAGCAAGACCCTCTATAAACTCTAGGGTATAGTTCAAGAATTGAAACACTTGAAAGATTTTAAATTAAAAACTATGTTTTTCCTCATAACAAAATATAGCCATTTGGGCTTCACTTTTGCCTCAGAAGTCTCAGTGGCAAGGATTTTAGCAGTCCTTAGAAGAACTGATACTTTTACAGGTAAGAACAGCCAGTGATAGTACAGATACACAATTTTAAAGCTCATTAGTCCGATCCAACACAGCCTTGCTCTGTTGCCAGCCTAAAGACCATCCTTAGTTCTTCCCGAGTGTTTCCTTCTAATGTTGTTTTAGTTTAGACCTACCAAGTATTTTTATTTCTATGCAATTGAAATATATACTTTCCCCAAAATAGCAATGATGTAGAATGAGTAGTACCAATATTTGCACTTACAGTAAAAATTCAGGGCTGTTAGCATTGAGCCATTTGGCTGACAGTGCCTACTTTGTGTAGGATATGTGATTTGTCAGTCATCCATGAAATACGCATCACTGAGATTCCGATCTCCATTTATTGTTCAGTCTTCTGAGAAAATGCTGGTCTGCTGATCCAGATTTCTCAACATTTTGTATTCTTGTATAGCATCTACTTGGTGCCTTGAAAGTATTATTTTATATTTTCAGTTTGCCCAGCTCTGGTGAGCCACATAGGCATGGTGTACTAATTGAGATACAAGTTGTGTAAGATAACTGCTGATTTAAAGTAATTGAACCAAGCTCTTGATTTGACAAGTTGTAGAGTACCAGCGCTTCACAAGAAGTGTGATCAGACCGCAAATGATCCCTGCATGTATGTGACACTGGTTGCATTTTTTCTTTGCTTCCTTGTTTTTAACCTAATACTAATGTAAGAAGAAGACTGGCACACGTGACTCCCTTTTCCCAGGTGAGGCCCTGCCACAAGATTAAAAGATTGTGATCATTCTAGATGGACTAATCG